AAGCAGTGGTATCAACGCAGAGTACTTGGGAAAAAAATTCCAATACTTCAAACGAGTAGAATCAATCGAAACGCTTTGAAACTTTAAACTTCTCGACATTTACAAATAAACCATTTGTCACAAAAGTTTCTGCAAAAAAACTTGGGGAATTCTTGATTGATGGCGATGCTATTAAATTAGAAGAAAGGAACGCGCAACGGTTTCTGGTCGGGAGTAAACAGCATCGCAACAACGAAAACTTTCTAAAAACATCGCTAACGGTACTTGATTGCGCGCGCGTTACTCTTTAACTTTCACAGATCAAGGAGAGGCGCGGGGGGGGGGCAGCAGCCGCAATAAGTCAAGTCATATTTTTTTCGGAAGACGGTCTCTTTGCATGACAGTATCCAACAGTCACCTTCCTAACTTGTGTTGACATGTCGCGCCAAGCTCAAGCAGAAGCCGCCGCAGGATAGACGCGCACGAAGGTGGTCCTGTATGGAAGCCCTGCTTACGGTCGTGCAAATCTCCCTATATATGCACTTTTACATTCTCTTCGTTTTTTGCGGTCTTTGGCCACAGTGATCCCAAATTAAATCCCACAAAGTTTTTTTCACGTTTGCGCCGAGTCTGCAGCAAAACTGACGCCATAAAATGTGGATTACTACTTCCTGCTGCGGCAAAACTTTGCAGAAAAGTTTGTTTGCTTAGGAAACATTGTCAAAAATGTTAGAGACAGGCTGTGGATAGCAAACGTTGCGCGGAACGAGAGCGGAAACGCTTGCACAGTTCGTTTTTTTTCTTGCAGTTGTGCACTTTTTCTGGGTCACTTAGCAATTGTAGCGTTTATAGGGACTAGAAATCTTGTTACGGCTAAATTTGGGTAGTGAATAGGGAAAAATGGATGTGGACTCTTCAAAAGCGTTATGCACCAAATGTAGACATAATGGAGACTTCTCCAACATCCTAAACTGGTTTTATTGAGAGAATTTCAATTTCTCCATTTTCAAGTGCAACTGAGTTTCAAAATATCCAAGCCCCCTCCACATTGAAGCGCAAAAGATCTGATTTGGGGAGCGCAAGGGGGGGGGGGGGGAGGGGGAGACTAAAATTCGTATTTGATTATTGAGAGAATCAGGAGTGAGCAATGAAACTTTCGTTGCGTTTATTCTTTCAAATTTAAAAATCATTTTTTCAAAATAAAGCTCAATCGTAGGCTAAAATGACAAGGGAAAGGAGTTTCAAAAAAGTTCATTTGGGAAATTTCTTAAGCCCATATCCCTTTCCGGAATTTTTCAAAAATTTTTATTCAAATTTTGAAGTGAAAGGAAGATTGATTTCCAAAAGATGTCTATGACAGTCAGTTAGTACGAAAGCTCCTCCCCCCCCCCCCCCCCCCCGCCGTTTAGCTATTTTTGTCTAAATATCCTATGGGGACCTCAAAGTTCCATTGTGTAAGGCTAATTTTGGGAGATTTACTGTGAAGAACTAACAAGTCGATGTTTGTTACTGTAACATTATTGTACATCTACGGTGGGATTACGGTATACAAGCATCCAGCAAAAGCGCCCCTCCCATACCTCTACCTTCTGTCCGCAAATTTTGTTTTTTGCTTTCTAGATTTGCACCCTCTAACTCTTGTCCAAATCTATTCAAAAACCCGTTACAGAGTGAAACCCATGACTCATGGCATTATCAACACTGTGCCTCTTTTCACTTCCGAACAGGACCTCAAGTGGCTATCTCTCATCCTTCAACACTTCTGCCCACTTTCACTCTGCCATTCTAATTGTCGATCAACAACTTCCTACTCCTTATATAGTTCTTAATTGCCATGAATCAACTTTCTCGAGTGCAGCAAAATTATCTTCAAAAGAAGTGAACTTTTTTTTGTTGGACTGCGGTGATTTTCTAGAATATTGGACATTTTTTTGTCAAATTTGGTAGCGAGGTTTTGAAGGACTGGCTAGAAAGGTTGGCAGGACAATTTGGAAAAGGTTTTCCTTAATGCTTTAATCAACAGATTGTCAAAATTCTGCCAATGAAGCTAAAAAATAGACCTCAATTTGTTTGATTTTTTACTTTTTACCCAAAATTTAATTGTTTTAGACTAGATTAGTTGGGTTTATTTGTCCTAAATCTCTAAGATGATTGGATTTGTGTAGTGTTAATCGACCTAACCCTGAAAAAACCCTGCTAACTTTCTCACTCGTTCACGTTGTTTACCCTTGAACAAAAGAACCTAAACGTTAGCAACAAGTTTTGATGTCAAGTTGGTTGACTCAAGTTTTTTTAGGGAACAGGGAGGGGGGGGGGTGGGAAGGGGAGTGAAAGAATGTCAGCATTCCTGACATTCTTATCATGTCTATTTTGGACTGCATATAAAAGTAAAGTAATAGGAAAACTTGATAAACTCAGCGCTTAGGAGAAAAAAGCGAGAAAAAACTTTTTATTTTTGATTTCATGTTGTCCATAGAGTACTTAAATTGCCCGTGTTGCAGAAACTTGACAATAATTTGTGAGATTTCGGAAGAAAATGGCAAGATGAATTAGAGATTACAGTGCTATTGATTTTGCTTAGATACTATGGTTTTAATCGTCAAAAAGTTGACAGACAAGCCTAGAGAATTGAAGAAGTTTTTTTTTGATAAACCGTACTTGGACATATTGAAATCATCCTTTATGAAGTTATAAAATACTTATATGATACGTATTTTTATGGGTCCTAGCCCATAGAATTGATTTTCAATTACAGCGCTAAAAACATAAACTTGGTCAAGCCGTCAATAATATTTTAAAAATAAAAAAAACGGCTTTTACAAGGGACGCGCATTCAGAAAATTCAAAAACGTTCAAAATTTCAGTTAATTTCTTTATTGGGTTTCTTAAAATCGGTTTAATCCAATCTAATCGGCTATGCTTGTAGCTCCAAACTGGGAGATTCAATCAGTCAACTTTTCAAAGCCATCTAACTTCCTTCTGAATTCACTTCAGTTTAATTTTTGAGCTCTTAAAAGAAAGGAAATTACTATGAAGTAGCACACATTTTTACTAAAATCTGGTCTAGCATTTTTACTTTGGAGAAATCTGACTAGCGTTTGCATCCCCTAAGTTTTTGTTTGACAGTTTTCAAGTCGGGAATTAAGAGACCTTGGTCAGTGATGTTTCTAACATTGGGTTGTGTTCACTTACTTCTAAGATATAATAATCGAGAAAAAAGATTTCCATGAAGAGAACAAGGCCTTTAGAGTGCATTATGTTTACTTAGCTTATTAGGACCTTATGATGGAACAAATTTTCTAAGAAAATCTAAGTTTCAGCGGTTTTGATGTTCTCAAATTGAAGAGATAAGGTGAAACGACGGGTATCAAATGAGTAAAATTTAAGAATTATACTGGGTTTTTTGAATGGTTTCGGAAAATCATTGAGGGGGTGGGGGGGGGGGTGGGGATAAATTTTTGGATATCTCTTTTATGTTAACGGTAAGAATACCTAGATCTAATTTTTAAGAAAATTTCAAAGAATTTTCAATGGATATCCGCTTTCAAGAAAATTCTTGACTCAGCTGGATGGGGGAAATAATGGGCCTAAAAACGTACCATCCCCTTCCAAGAGGCTTCTTATTGTTGTTTACTATTGTTTTCGCTATTCTTATCAATCCAAACCTCCACCCCCCCCCCCCCTTCCAAGCATGTTTTTATTGTGTTGTCGATGCCGACAAACGCCAAAACGCCACACTCTTAGGGGCGGCTAACCTGGCATTGGGGCGACCTTGGCCGTGCGTGGAAACATAGCGCATGAGATGTTGGTTTTGTTCGGCTATTCAGCCATTCATAAGCGGACATTGAAAGAAAAACATGCGAAACGCATCCAAAAGAACTCGGTGCAGCGGCTAGGCGTCGAGTGGTTTCTTTGGAGCCGTGGCCAGTTAAGCGTACATGGACACACTCTGCTATTGTTACAAGAAGAAGTGTGGCTTATGATCGGTCAAAGTCTCGGCAGAATATTCTGGCGGGAAAAAAGTATGGGCAAAAAACTTGAGGGCCAAGATTGTGAGAGGAGCATGAGGGAAATTGTGACTTACCCAGGTGCACATGTACAAATTTGCCCATTGAATAGTTGATTCACAGAGCATACAGGTTGAGCCGCTGTTGTCGTATCATCTTGTGCAAAAACCGTAACGGCGGGAAGCACAGCGAGCACGACGACAACGACGGGCAAGATCATGACTGTTTCGAGGCAGATGTGAAACAAATGAGTTGTTCGGGGGCGGTTGTGGGCGGTCGCGTCAACGCTCTGCTGCTGTCGTCGTCTGTGCACGGGGGCAGGCGGGCCGGGGGGAGCGAGCGAGTCGTCGTCGACGGGGCGGCGACCACGGGGCGCGACCACCATCCACGGGGGGGGGGGGGGTGACGATGGAGCGATGGAATGCGCGACGACCGAAGATGTTGACAGCGTTTCACCTATAGTTGCTTGGTTGCTTGGGTGTACTGCGATTCTTCTGATGTGATAGAGACGAGGGAGCAGAGGTAGGGGGGGGGGGGGGAGAAGGGACAGAGACAAAGACATACAGAAATTCCAAAAATTCCAGAGATGGGTAGTGCCCCTAGAGGCCTCGACTTCGGGGTAGGTAGGGGGGGGGGGGAGAGTGGGGGACAGGTTACGTTGCGCGTTTTGTTGACAACAAACATATTTTTGTGAATATTTCCCAGTTTACAGCATATTCGCTGTCTTTAACTGCCAAGTTGATTGACAGATAGTCCAAATCGTTTTATTTACGCTCAGAATTTCATTTCAAGATAGTAAACATAGGGAACTTTGCCAAGAAACTTTTTTTAATAATTTAGAGAAAGAATTGATAAACTATGGAAAACAACTGAAAAAATCCTAAAATTTTATCGTTTTTATCGATCATACCTCTTCCCAACTGCTCAATAAATCTTTAGCACTGTAAATCAATATTCTTCTTCCGAATTTTTTCCTTAAAAGATTCGCGAATTTGTTTGAATTGATTTGATGTATGATCCGTACTCAAACTAGTTCTTCGCCATTGAAAGATTACCTACTGAAGAAGGTGTTTGGCGGGGAAAACGGTTTTGCACTTTGCTTTTTCTTAGTTCTAATCTTCTTTTTATAGACATTATTTTGGCCGTGGAAATGGGAGGAAGGAGGGGGGGGGGGGGGAGAAGACGGGAGGAAATAGACAAAAAACTTGGAAATTTTGAGGAACTTTTCTCTTAAAAGCTACATAGTCACTTTCTATGATTTGAAGCAAGATGCTTAGCTTAAAAAAAATTTTTTTTCATGTGGCTTTGAAGGTGACGTGCCAGAGGGGGGGGGGGAGGTTGACGGCTCGATAGAATTTTATTTATAGAGAGCAGGGCGCATGCCTCTTTTGGAAATTTCTTGGGATGCTGCTTCAACTCGGCAAATTTATAACCTCACGGATTCTAACAAAAATTGAAATTTGATTTTTTTCTATAAAATTTGTCAAAATGTTTTGTTTAAATACAATTCAATTGATTGTTAAAGTCATTCTTCAAACTCATATGTATAATTGCATAAATGTTTTTGAAAAATTTGGACTGCCCCTTTGCCCCCCCCCCCTCCTGCCTCCTTACTTTGCTGCAACAGTAAATTTGAAAAGAAAGGATAATTCTAAAAGGTTTAAAAGATATTTTGGTCCTCCAAAAGCCCTCTGGAGCTGAAAAATATTGATTTGCATATATTTTCAGTTAAAAGATACTTTGTCCTTTCTATTTTGTGTTGTTTTGTGTAAGATTGAATGACCTTGATGAGAAGTTGAAAAATCGGTCACTACGTAATTTTCAATATAGATTTGTTTTGACACAATTTTGCAGTTATCTGATGTAGTAGGAGAATTCTTACCTTACAAACAAAAAATGTTGAAAATCAATGTGTTTGCACTACTTGCCTCCAATTTTGTATTGAATTACATAGTCAAACGTCATTGCTTCAGCTCATATTCCTATAGCAACCATAAAAGTAAAACTGGTTCTGAAAGGGTTTGAGAGCGAAAATTCTCATAAATAGCTGCAAAATTCGTAAATTGTTTTTTAAATCATGCTTATACGAGCAATTTGCACATTAGGTTGGAGTCTGAGGGAAAGCGAAGCTCTAAGAGATTCTGCTATTTTTAAAATATCTAGTTGTTAATATGTAGCTAAGTTAATAAATAAGTAGTACAGAAACTAAAATCTTTAGAAATTGTTCTGTAACTACCGAACACATACATAATGCCTGCAAACCGACATTCCTTAATTTCCTTAGATTTTCTCTCCAGAAATTAATAGACTGTTACAAAAAAGAAAAGCTATAGACTGTGTCAACAAAATTATGTTTTTTTTCTTGAGAAAGAAATCTATATGAGATAGTCGTATAGTTGTGTGAGAAATTCAAACAAATCCGAAGATTCAAGGCCAGGATAAATTACACTCAAAAACTGCCTCTTTTTCTACCATTGAGAAAAGTTCTCAAATTACCAATTTGAGTAATGAAGAACCTGACAGTAAGTGACAGCCACAATTTCTGGTGACAGGAATGTTCTTGAAAACTCTTACATCGCATCGTCAGAATGTAATGCCCCCTATTTCCAAAATACCGTGCAAATGGAAATTTAAAAAACACGTTTCTGGGTAATTTTTATTTGTCTGTGGATTTTTAAATTTTTGGACCTTCTGTACCTTAGTATTGGATCTGCCGTGATGAACATTTCAGAATTTTCCAATTTATGTGGATGGTATAAATCTGTAATTAGCCACACACAGTACTTTTTCAATATCGAACAGCCGCCGCGAAGGGGCAGAGGAAGCTAACAGCTTACACACCTGAGCGGCTATTGGCTGGCTGGTTTTTCGCGCCACGCCCACTCAGCGTTAGATCTATCCTGACGTGCTGGGAAATGCCAAGATCATTTCTGACCATATTAGAAAGTCGAATAATGGGCAATAGATAGATATGTGGAACATATGTGAGAGTTGTCCTGGAAGCGTGTTGTCCCAGGTACCTTAATATGCGCTTACCGTGCTACCGCAACCTAAAACTAAAAGCGTTAAAAACTGCAGAGAAGTGTAAAAAAATCAATCGTACTTTAAGGGGATCCTGCAAAGAACTAAAAAATGATATATAACAGACTCGGTATGACATGTATCAGCAAAACTTTTTACTTTTTTGTATAATCAAGTCTCAGCCAGGTAGGTACTGTTCTCTGGGTCGTTATTTGAGCAAATTAGGTCGATCTGAAGCGATTCTTAAGATTTGTCATTAAAGCATGAAGTTTCGATTCCATCATCCCCTTTGTGGCGCCGACGCATTTCACTTCTCCTCACATTATAGGGGCAATTGAATGTGTGTTTAGGCTGTCACCATACCTGCGGAGCCAGGCAGGTGTCTTCGCACATCTTTTCTCCCATTTCCAACATTTCGTGAAGGGGACCAGGAAGATTTAGCCATGGGTCGAACCATTAAACCTGAAGTCTTCAAAAGAGGAATTGACCCTCATGAAAAAAGTACGAAGTTTCTATTACTGAAATAAGAATCGAATCCCCCAATAGCCATGACAGAAGTTTTTCTCCTTTCAAACGGAGATTGGATGATGAATGTGATACGCTTATCTCATGGGAAACAGACGTTTAAATTCTGCTTAAGAAGAGTCAAGATGGATTATGCATTCATTCGAGAAGCTAATAATTTGTTGTTCCATAAAAGCGTTTAAATAAAGATAAGTGATGGTATTCGAGAAAACAGTTGTGTCACTTAGTCATTATTTCTCTGGTTTTTGTTTTATACATAAAATGAATAAGAACGACAACTTGAGCAAAAAAAATTGTCCATTCATGTGCTAAAATATTCTACCCAAAAGACTCGCAAAAAGCCGCTGTTGCAAATATTCCAGCCCTTTCTCCCCCCCCCCCCCGCCGTCTCGTCCTAAAATTCATCTTCAATTTCCACTTATGTATCCAGTTCACATTAAAAATTGCCATTAAAAAGGTGATTGAAATTTCGGCAGTAATAAGCAATTCAGAGGTAATTTTCTGTTTTTTCTGTATTTTTTTCTTTTTAACAGTTACAATTACCTTTGAACGAGAGGACAATTAATTGGTTACTTTAGAAAGTTTTATCCAATTTCTCTCCTTGAATCTCCTTCTTTTGTACAAGTAGCCACAATAATTATATTTCAGGGTTGTAGCAGGATAGGAGAGTGGGCTGGGCCCTTTTTCTAACCTTTCCTCATAAAGTTTCGGACTGCTATTCATATGATCTTGGCAACGCTTGCATAGAATGATTGAACTCAGTGAAGGAAACAGTACTGGAAGAGTTTGCAGGGCTAGGAAAACAGCTTTTCCTCGGATCAATCAGGCATTGCCTTTTTTGGGATTTGCTATACATGCCAGTCAGCTTATGTCATGAAAACTGTACATGCATGTTTGGTAAGTCAAGCGCATAAGCGAATTTTTTCCGAATTCTATACAATGTAGTCACACAGTAGTGACGTGAATAGCCTTTATATTTGAACAACTTCATATGCAATGCAATAAGCTAAGCTAAAAAAACATTTTCATTTTAATCTGTATTGAAGTTAGAGCGTTAGACAAGACAAATATTTGTTGCTCTTTGCTTAGGTAAACGAAGAAATTCTTGCTCTTCAATACAAGGAAATTAGAAGCGAAAATGAGCGAGATTTTTGGGTCAGTGATTACGGTATTTTTCTAATTACGAGAAGTGACATTTCGACTACTTACAAAATTGTAACAACCGCATTTCCGGTGCCATATTTTTGTCTTACTCTTTGATACAAGGAACTTGAGATGCTCCATCATCAATTGTACTTTATTTTGTACTTGTGATGCAGACAGACCATAACAACAACAACAACCATAGTAAGTTGTAAAAAGCAGTAAAAGCATTCCGATTTCGTACACTTTACATCAGGTTTTGAAAGGAGCCTTTGTCTGTGCTTATTGTTTCATTGGGAAGGATTTGCTACATTAGTACAAAGCTCTCCAGCTTTTCCTAAGCGAGGATTTAAAGGATCCTCAGAGAACCAGCGCTACAGAATGATTTCAACGGCTGTGTTCAAAAATGACCTAAGATATCGCTTTACTCCAAAAGAAAAATATAGACCTCTAAAAGTTTCTTCAAGATTACCTAATCAGCTTTCGAGAAAAAGTTTATGCTTAAAAAAGCTATGACCTCAAAGATACTGTCAGTCCAATGCCAAAATCCGGTTTAATCAGACGATCGCTGATCATTCAAAACAGGGGAGAGAGCATGTCTTTCGCTAAAATATCCTATCAAATTAAACCGTAGTTTTTTTCAGGGTATGTACATCAAACATTTTTTGAAAAATTCCCACACTTTTAGTCTTTGAGTTATTATAACCGTTATTTACGAATCTAATAAACAACTCCTCTCAATTAAATTTTAAACAGATTTCCTTTTAACACCTAAGCTACTGAAGGAGATTAATGGTGTAGCAGAAGACAATGTTATAAATAATACTAATAGCATAGAAAAATAGTAAAATATTACTGCACTCTGGAACTACATTAATGTATTTAAAAAGTACAATCGCCTTAGTTCGCTTATCCGATTAGATAAGATCTTTATGCAAAGAAAAAGCAAGTTATTTTTTAGCTTATAGGTGCGTTCACACACTCCTCTTCACCCCCTCCCCTCTTAACTCCAAGAAAAAGTTCGAGCTAAGGGGTTGTTCAGATTTTTCCTGCTTTGCAATAGTAGGTTTACACGAAATGAAAGAAGGAATTTTACAACTTCTTTACAATTTAAGACTTACTGTAGATTCCTCCCTATTTACTGAAAAATCCTGGGTAGGGCCTTGGAGAACTGAAGCTTTCTGCCCATGCCATGGGAAGAGACGAAATAAAGCGCAAAATGACACTTTATAACATTCTCTAAATAATATACTTGTTTGCCACCATTCAAAGTGGGAAAAGTTCAGCATCTATTCTAGCAAGGAAATTACAGGAAAGTTTTTTTTGCAGACTTCGGAGAGCTCAATGACGGTTGCTGCGAATTAACTGCTAGCAATCTCAACTTGCTATGTTTGTGGTCTGATAAGCCTGCAATATGGATTTTAATGAGAGCTATGAAGTATGATTTCATTCTCTGATTGTTATTCCATCGAGTGGTCATGCCTGTATTAGGCGACAAGCTACAGTTTGTACATTTCTGGAGGTTCGAAGTGATGTCAACGTTCTCCATGAGAGATTCCGACAATTTCGCTACAATTTACGGTCCACGAATATTTGAATGGTAGGCTATTTATTCTCATCTGACATCATGTTGAGATAAGGGATTTTAGGTGTATTCGGATAGATCGCGGTGATAGCTTCGGTTTTCGAGGACTTGAAAATCGTGGGATTGAGGTGATACTTCATCCTATCTTTCAATGGGAAGAAAGCCAAAGGGCCAATTTTCAAACAAAAAGCTCCACTACTTCCCATTCACATATTTAATGAATCTGTTACTAGAAAGCCTATCATTGGGCTAACTGCTAGGCTAAGGCAAAACGGAAGATCTTCGAACGATCTACATACTGGTCTTACTGGTTCCTCTGCAACTTTCCTTTCCTAATCACGCAATCATTCAAGCCGACGATTTGTGTTCTCTATAATTACATCAAGGGTTTTCTTCCCAATTGTGACTTCGACCTTCGCAACACCTGTCATAAAGCATAGTCTATGGACCTCAAAGCCAGCGAATTCTGGAGGACGCGAAGCTCGCCTAGTGTTGCTCACCTCCATCAGATCATGGTCATCTCTTCTCTGGCATAGCCTAATCCATGATTCAGAGCCATGATTTCTCATTATTTTGCTTTATATAGAAAAAAAAGAAATATCAAAAAATGTTAAGAAATTGCGAACGGTTAGCATTCAGGCAGCGTTCAGAATTGAGCGTGTGTTGGCAGTGTGCACCACTGTGGCGGCATCTGCATAGACGCACCTCGTGTTCGTCCGACCTCCTTGTTGGTCCAACTGCTGGCGCAGTTCCGGCACGTCGCTAGCATGGCACATGAACGGCGTTTGAACGGCGCGGGCACGTGCTACTCTGGACGCAGTCTTGAAGATAGATGATTACCGTTTTAAATGCGTTCCAGTTTGAACAGACCCAAAGAAGGTCGATCCACACTTTGCAAACTACAATCTAGGAAATATTCTGCTTTTTACGTTTTGATCATGTGACTTTTAAGACGTTGACGACGAGCGTTTTTTTGACGCCTGTCCGTGTGGACGAACCGTTTCCTGGTATTTTCACGGCCGGCTGCATGTATGTATTTATGCATCCATGCGTGAGGTACAAAAGTGCAAGCGGGCTGGGTAGCTCCGCCCACTTTTGGCAAGCCCCGCCCACTTTTCAAAAATGCTGGAAATTGCTCAAAATCAATGAATTCGTGCAAATTCCGGCTTTTTTGAAAAGTGGGCGGAGCTTGCCACTTAGGGGGTGGGGCCTGAATAATGGAGGGCGGGATCAAAATTAAGATTATTTAAGGTTTCCCAGTCATCTACGAGCTTTTCTATGCGATTTGAGAACGAAAAAAGTTTTTTTAGAGGACAACGGAGTGGGCGGAGTTTGCCGAAAGAGGGGCGGGGGCAACGTGAAGAACTTCTGAGCCTAAATTGATACAATGTGTACACAAATTGGAGCCATTGTGCACATTAGAACTGGTATTTAGGGTGTCGCGCACCATTGCGCGACACTGCCGTCAACGTGTTAAATTAGTAATCATGAAGCTGACAATATCCAAAAAACCAAAATTTCGAGATTGATGTTTTAGCTATTTGTCATCTTTCGATTCTTAGCTTTCTGTCGAACCGACAATACGATCTTTCAATGCAAAGCTGCCACAAGAAGCCACATGTACTTTCAAACTTAGGGTTGTAGAACCATCAACTGATAGAGGTATGTATTTGCCAGGTTTCTTCCTATTTGAGTTTAAGTGTCAAATCTCCGATTTCAGTGTTACTCAAAGGAGGTCCCCATACATGTCCAATAGTAGATGACCCACACGGCAATCGTGGTTTCTTTCTGCCACTAGCATCCGACACTGGTATAGTAGTGCAAAGAATGCTAAGAGGGAACGAATATTTTGGTGAGGAGCGTTAAAATCACTATATTGGAATAATACTCAAAGAAATCAAGTTATTGTATTTTTTAGGTAATCGCTGCGAACTCACATCTGTTTTGAGCATACCCATAGTCTCTTTCGATGTGGATAGAATTGAAGGTGTAGCACCTCGACCACCAACGGAGCCGGATTTTCGATTCAGAATGCTAACTGACAAGTATCTTTTCAAGTTTGCATGAGCACTCTATTCCAGAAGCACAACATTTTTATCAAAACGTATTTGAGCAGAATCTCGCTAAAATAGTTTGCATACATAGTTTGAATATTTATCTGATTTTGCTTCAAAAGTCCTTTGCAAAAAATATTGACTGAGTGAGATCCTCCCCTCCTGTCCTCTTTCAGTTCAACCTGACAAAACCTAGTTTTGAAAACATCCCGTTTTAGGTCCCGCCAAGACTTCACAATTCGTTGCCGAGACGGCGACATTCTCGTAGCAAAAGAAGGAATTTTCTTGGCTTCCGAATACTTCCGTGATTATCTCGAAAACGCTGATCACAGCGATGCCAATTTTGGTGATGTGAACAAACAAGCTGTCGAAATTGTTGAGTTTATTTCTGGGCATTACTGCAAGGAATTTCTAGTTGCTTAGGCTTTGCATTTCACCTTAACCGGGACCATGATGCCAGTGGAAAATATTTCATCAACTTTGGTTGTCGACATCATTGAAACTGCTAGAAGGTAGGTTCACGCTTGAGTGTACTGCTGATCAGTTTTTCTTGAAGACTGCGATCGCTAAACTTTCCAAAATTGAGAAATGCTATAGAAGAAGATGCAATCAAAGCAGCAGAAAAGGTAATAAATCTGGAACATCTTTCAAAATGCGCATTTTTCCTGATAAGCCGGAGTCTACCAGGAAAAACACATACAATTTTAAAAACCAAGAACGCGGCAGCTAGGCTGTTTCGGTAAGCTCTTTCGCTCTTCGCGATGCGCGCGCCTAGAAGTATGAGGCCTTAAAGGCACCGTCCAGGCAGATCTGGACCTATGGGGCTTTTACGTGTAAAGTACTTTTGGGGTCCTAATTAAGGCACTGCCCAACGGCAGCTCAGGTAGTGCTCTAATGGCTGAGATGATCCCCTCGAAACTGGCCCCCGCGAACGTATACGCATGGATTCATGGCAGTTTCGCGCCAGGATCCACGCTTTGCGCCATGAATGCATGCGAAACACGGTCGCGGGGTCCAGTTTCGAGGGGAATATCTCAGCCGTTACAGCACTACATGAGCTGCCGCTTGGGCAGTGCCTTAGTTAGGGCCCCAAAAGTACTTTCCACGTAAAAGCCCCATAGGTCCAGATCTGCCTGGACGCTGCCTTTAAGCATTGATTTGAGCCGTGCTACCGGGCGGCCATTACGATACTTTCTCACGCTTGTCATCCCCTCCGGACCCCCGCTTGCTTTGGCGCGCTGCCAGCCAAAAGGTTGTGGCAGCAGCGCCTCATTCCGGCGTCTGTTCGCCTTCCTTTTCGATCGATGATATCTACATCGTTTTCAATTGTGCTCGTGCTCGGCAACTTAACTTTTGATGTCGCTTACGCAGTAGCTGTCGAGGAATTTAGGAATTATACCATCCTAATTTTACGCGTATAAGGCGCACTTTTTCGAATTCTCAAGCGAGCCGCTCAGCTGCTCGCTTGAAAATTTTTCACTCAAAAAACTCAAAAATGAAAAGCACTGTATTCCGGAAAGAAATCCTTACATCGCACGATTCTCTCAAGCAATATGCAACACGCTATAGGGTCCTTTGGTTGTAAAGTCCTTTGGCTTGTCTGGGCTGGTCGATTCTGGGAAAAATTCCTCGCGCCTTATACGCGTGAAATTAGGGTAGAATGAGTTTCAAGTCGGATTCGAGGTTGATTTCGGGCGAGCCACTTTTGGAACTGGTATTTGAGATCTCAAGGCTTTATGAACTTTGGCGGAGAGGCTGTCGCGCCTGTCATTCGGCGACGCGTAGCGGATATCTATATGAAGCCTCGGAAACACATTTGTTCTTTGTATTTATAGACGCGCACCATCGGTAACACGGGACAGGACATCCTGTGCTTTGGTTATAGCACTTTATGATGTTGTTTTTTTATTTGGTGTCATAAGGATAAACTCTCAGCAAAATATTGATGTGCAGTCGCGCTAAGTGTACTGGTAGGCTAGGTCGTGTCGTAAGTATTGAGCAGGCGAGCGCACTAGCGCACTAAGTTTTCGTTGCGCACGTCACGCGTTGCGTATGCATAACATGACGGCCTCGGAAAAGGAGCTTGTGGTGGCTCGGCGGGCCCTAAGCACCTAATTTTACCCGGGAGCTAGTGCGCTCGCAAGCTTAATACTTACGTTTTACATCCTTCACTTCTATCCATAATCTCTGATTTCTACTGTATTTCCATACTTAATGTTAGGAGATCTCAAGAAGTAAAAATTTAGGACTCTGAAAACCTTGAGGAGCTACTCTCTTGGTTCATCTGTTCTCACGAATGCGGCATGCCAACCTTACATATGGTTTGTTTGGCTTATATCGTTGGCATGCATTCTAACCAGTATCTGCGGGATTTTACGGAAGGCTCTATGGTAAGGTCGCAGTCTCATTTTTTTGAGTGTAAATGTTCTCGTTGTGAATAATAATGTAATGGTTGAATATTTATGTATCTAGATAATTTCCGTGGCTAAAGCATACCCGGAATTGGCCGAGAAGCTCAACAGAAGGCAGGGCATTTTGAGGCCCACACCGCATGTTCGTCCTCTCTTTCGTGGTTCTTATGCAGATTCAGCATCTTTTTTCAGCAACGCATCATGACTAGCATACGTTGCGCGAGCAAAACTCGAACCGTATCGCAGCTTGAAGTCACTTGAGGCGCTACTACGACTATCACGAAACCAACATCACATACAACATCTTCATTCAAAATAAAGGTTTATAAACTTTGTGTCTGTCTATGAAAGTGTTAGGTCGTTTTGATTTCAACATATTATACCGAAGGATGCGAGTTTTTGGTTGTATGCCTTTCGGGTTCATGGCCTTTCACGAATCAGCCAACAATTTTCAGACAAATTCGCGCATGCTGCCACCTACAGTAGCTCAGAGAGGCTTAAAAAGATGGAGATTGTAGGTTTAGCGCAACTTTAAAAGTGAAGTTAAATACATTTAAATTTAGCACCCTTCAAAAATGTTTGTTCCGAAATGAAGGGCGCTCAGCAAGCAGGATAACATCATCCTAAGAGTAAATAAGCACTTTACTAGTACCACATTAGTCTTAGAAATTAAGCTACTTTATCATCAACTTTATCGATTTTTTGCAAACTTTGAGCTGGACTAGGAGCTGATACCAGTAATGGGAGAGTGGCTGACATCAAAACATAGTGTGGACAACCGTCATATGGAAGTGTGACATGGATGAGTCATGTTGTGCTAGAGGGTTAGGAGTGACATCTTCTTTTAGTTGTTGACAGGGCTGGATAGAGCAGATATGTTAGCTAGTATGCAATATATCTGTGAGCAGATTATGCAAAAACCTTGAATAGTTATCTGGAACAACGCATTTTCACGCCAAGGGCTTCCCCTGTGAACATTCCAACATTTTTGCCTTCATGCCATTTCCCCATGAGTGTGCTTGTCTTGGAGAAAGTAGTTTGATGTAGCTTGTGGCAAACCTTATCTTGGAGCGGAGTTTTTCTTGAAGGCTCAATTTTACTAAGGCTGTCGCTTATTCATCTCCAAAACTCGTGTGCACGAAACCCTGCACTCATTTGTGAGTTTCCTTGCCGTAGTCAGAGACTTTGACGCATAAGGGCCTAGGGTATTCTCTGACTGTACGGATATCATGATCGATTTTTTTGATGTTGCTGAAAGAATAAGGATCTCAATCGTAGGAGTGTACGTTTTATCTGATCTCTAGGTTTTGTTTTGGTTTCCTTCACAGTACATGTAAATCTTCAAGGCTTCAATAGCGGTTGGAATTATAGAAGACTTCGCATAATTCTGGCATAGTAAAAGGAGCTTTTTTGAAAACTTCAAAAGCTAACTAGTTTCGGCCATTGCAAGGTTCACCTTGGATGGTGGTCCTTAACCGCCTCAGACCCGCAACCCGCACCCATTGTTTCTTAGTAAAGCAAGAATGTGCAATTCCATATTTTGTCTATAGAGCTCCATGACGACTCTGCGTCTCCAAACTTGATGGGTTCTTCTTCACAAGTTCAGATTCGAAATCGAGACTTCGAGAAATTTCCGCTGTACTTTTGGGATTGTTAGAATAGAAAGCCAGGTGGGAGAAAAATCTCCAAAATCCGAGGATTTGCCAAAACGCTGCTTTGAAGAATCGTGTGGAAAACAAAGTCAAGCACTCATCTGGTAGTCACATTAAGCCTCTGATTACTCATGCATATAAACAGAGTAAGTTGCAAAGTCAATGTTGGATTTTTTCTTCCAGATACTTGAGTAATATTTGCTTTTAATTACGAAACTAAATTGTCATAAGGCATCATCATAACCACTTTTTAATTAAATCCCTCTTTGGCACTAATCGTTCCTTCTTGAGTATAAAGGTAAGCAATCAAATCGTTAAAGAAACAATTTACTAAACAAATTTTTTATGATATCGCTGAATTTTTGCCTTTACATCTTTTGGCAGTGGCGACGAAGATGGAGTTTTATCAGTGAACGCACATAGTGAATAAATGTAGTTGTAAGTCCAAAAGTAGTCGGCCATTCGTTCTCTAACCGGTTGGCAGAAAAAATGTCTTTTTTGTTGGAACCTCTGAAATGTTCTGGTCAGTCGAAGAAGGCCAGTTTTTTCTTTATCGCGATAATCGCTGCTTGCTTTCTCAAGATTCAGTACCCGTCATGTGATGCAAGTTGCTGTTTGCTCATTACGCAACCACCTATCATAGACATTGTGCTAACCGACGATTAAGAACCTCTTAGTTATCAGCTGATAACTAGAAGTTTTTGGTACTCTAATTTTAGCAAATTTTTGATATAATAGGTCGTTCCTATTGCTTCCCGTTTTTTCAACCTGTCATAAAACACATGTGATAAGGATGGGAAAAGAAGGAAGGATACGTTGTAGAAACTATCTGATGCAGCTTTTCCTCCTCTTTTTATAATATTTAGCATGTTTCTGAACTACTTCACTTTGTGCTCGCTAAAATAGTGGTCAAAAAATCGATTTAAAGATTTTTGAAACTCCCAGGTTCAACGATTTTTTAAATTTTTAGTTCACATTTTTGTAAGAGCCTTGGTAACTGGTGGATAGGGTAAACAAGGGCGATACAATAAATTTCTGGCATCTTCGTCTATTTCTTCAGTATTTCCCAAAATGGTTTTTCCAAAGTTTTCACTTTTGCAGAGTCGTGTAGAAACAAAAGCATCGAACACCAACAAATTTCTGAATTTTGATACTTCCAAAAATTATTATCATTAACACTAATTCTACAAGGCAAATGAGCGTGTACCGCTTCGAAATAACAATTGTTGGAATTTCAGGTACGCCAGTTGGTGAGCTCGAAAATTCATATGACATTCCGGCTGCTAAGGTCTCACGAATCGCTGAGAAAAACGCCTGAAAAAAAGCTGTATCAAAAACATCCATGCTAATTGGTTGATGTCTGGCGAGATCGCGGACTCTGGCGAATATGTTTGATTACATTTTACACTGAGTAAGTAATTTGAGAAATCTTGCAAAGGGCCGAATATGCCAAAAATTTTTGTTGTATCGCATTTTTCGCCGTATCCCAGTTATCAAAGCTCTTCCATAAGTTAAGATTGAGAGATTCGAAAATCGCCAAACTTGGATATGGTGTGTTGCGGCTCGCGATCGACCGCTCCTCACAGCATGTGGCAGGGAGTACCCTGTTGCCGCGCAGTTCGGTCGTGAGCACTGTCGCCGCGCTTTACGGCGGCTACTTTGTTCGCTTCTGAACCATCACGTAGGCACGTCCCCAACCACCGCTATAAATAGCGCGTACGCGCGCCATTGCGGCCTCTCTCGTCTTATCATCTTGCTACTATCGTCGTGCCGCTTTTGTTATTGATTGGTTGGGTTTACACGACATCGCCGTCGTGTCTACGTCCCCGTGCGCGATTGTATGGATCGTCGATGAATTGTTTGGATGTACGCGACAGGATAGAATTCTAGGACGATGTACAACATGGAGCGCCTTGGAGGCGCAGGACTCGTCGGGAGCTTGGCTTGTGCTGCTGGTTAACACCATGGGGTCGGTGTTGCCGTGCCGTCGCTGCTGCTTTGGCGGTTAGCGCGGCCGGCCTGTGGGTAGCCCCCTTGGAAGCTGGGAGAGAGTAAGAGTGTGCCAGTGTGAGAGTGTGAGAAAGTTAGATCCCCATCGGTAGCCCAGGGTAGAGCCTAACTCTCCCCGTGGTAAGTATGTTTCATAATCATATGTCGTGTATTTTCTGTGTATTTTGATGTAGTAAATTTATATATGTTTATGTTTTGCGTGTAGAGTAGGCGTAAGCGCCGTTGTGGGCAAGAGCTCACCGGAAGTCCCTTGGGGACGGGAGCTGAGGCGCAAGGCAGTCGAGCGCTAGGCGAAGGGCGCAGAGCACACCGAGCCGCAACATGTTGGAAATCATGGACTCAAAATTTTGAAGACTAGTTCAGTAAGCACGAAGATTAGTAGTGCTGAAGCATGACCAGCCAGTTAAAAAAGGAAGAAAAACTGCGAAAAGTTTTCACAATGTTTGCCCATCTTTATAACAAGTATTTTTAGATGGGTTGAAAGAAAAGGAACTTCCGGAACGACCTAATTCTAATAAATAAAGCTGAATATCTGTATGTTTGTATGTCTGTACAGTCGAATAGATTTTCCGCTTATGGTGCTTGCACTGAAGGTGAAAAGCGGTAAAATTTGAGCGTAAGGAAATAGCTACGCCTGTGACGCCGGCCATCTGCTCGCGCAAAATGTTGGCATTACTGGCGTGGCTAGTTGTTGCGCACAAATTTTACCGCATTTCACCTTCGGTGCAAGCCCACTATATTAAGCGAAAAATCTACTCGACTGTATGTCTGTGTATACGTATGTGCGGAATAGAGACTTTTATTTCTAAACCGATTTGGACCAAACTTGGCACATATACAGTGCTGGCCATAATTATAAAGATACTCTAGAAATCGTCGTAATTTTCGTTCTTGTCAGTGAATCTGTCTGAAGCTTTGCTGTGTGGTGTCCATATAAGCTTACCATAAGTCCTCGAAACGACGTCCAATCCTGTTGATTTCGAACGGAGAAAGATGGAAAAATTCGAAAAAAAAACCCGTTTTGGAAGCTAACAAGGGAAGGGTGATCGGTCGAAGTGGCCATTTGGAATGAGCTGTATATTAGGAAACCGTTTTCGGTAAGGCAAACTCAAAACTACTTTCGCTAGGTGCCGAGCGGTTTTGTGAGGGACTTACAAGACCATTTTCCTTCGGCGCAGCCGCCGCACCCAGTGATGAGCGAGGCGCTAGAACAACACCGCAGTGCCACATGGCGCAGTGGCAAGACAGTGGAGTGCGAAGCAGATGGTCGAGGGTTCGAGTCCTGTTGCTACTACTTTGTTTTGCAGTTCTGTAAAAAGTCTATTGGGTGACAGTAGACGAAAAATACTCATTTCTAGGCAGTTGAAACAAGCTATTTACTGCAAAAAGGTCACTATTTCTACAATAAGCTATAATCTTCTACAATATGTAAATCTGTGGAGGTTATGGTGTCACAACAAAAGATTCAAATGATATGTTAACATGTATGGAATACAACCGCAAAATGCTCAAAGCAGAAGAGCTTCTCGCAGCGCGCGCACTTGAAAAATTGCAATCGATTCACATCCCATGTATTGGCTCTCGATCTGAACTCTACCTTGCATCATAGGGATTTAATCCTTAAGGTCTTATCGCTCATTTACACACAGTTTTGCTCGCCGCGATTCAAAAAATTTCCTTTCATACCCATGGCATGCAGCCGGATACATTGATAATCACCCCGCCGAATTCGAGTCTTCTATTCAGTACTGTTTTGCATTGACTTGATATGTAGGCAATTGTGAAGCTGCTAATTGTCACCGTTCATATTTTATTCGATGTGCGCGCTGCGAGAAGCTCTTCTGCTTTGAGCATTTTGTGATTATATTCCATACATGTTAATATATCATTTGAATCCATTGTTGTGACATCATAACCTCCACAGATTTACGTATTCTCAGACAAATGACCGGAATTTTCGCAGAGCGCTTGTGGAAGTTCCGTAAACGTGCTGCGGAAGTTCCGAAATGAGACCGTGTGGAAGTTCCGAAGAATGCCAACCACACCAGCAAAAGAGAACACCGAGCGAAATTTGAACCTCACTCTATTGACTGTGAGACCCACCTACTCTCCTCTACGCTACGGCTGACATGTTCGATAGTGCACTCTAGTTGTTGGCGAGGCAACACCACGAGATAACACATTCAAAGTCCTGCGGAAGTTCTGGGGCCAAAGTGGTGCGGAACCTCTGGCATTTTTCGGAATTTCCGCAGGGTTTTGAAGAAGGTTCTGCGGAAGTTCCGGTTTTCAACCAGTTTAGCATGAAGATCCCGCGGAAGTTCCGATTTTCAATGTTTTCATTTTTGCAACAGTGAACAAAATCCTGCAGAACTTCTGCAAATTTGGCTTTCCTGCGGAAGTTCCGGTGATTTGTCTGAGTTGTAGAAGATTATAGCTCATTGTAGAAATAGTGACTTTTCTGCAGTAAATAGCTTGTTTCAGCTGCCTAGAAATGAGTATTTTTCGTTTACTTTCACCCAATAGGCTTTTTACAGAACTGCAAAACAAAGTAGCAGCAACAGGACTCGAACCATCGACCATCTGCTTCGTAGTCCGCTGCATTGCCACTGCGCCATTGCCACACTGCTGCATTGTTCTAGCAATGCCTCCCTCATCACTGGCTGCGCTGGCTACGCCAGAGAAAAATTGGCCTCTTGCCAACTCCCCCCGCAAAACCGCTCGGCAACTATCCAAAGTAGTTTTGAGTTTGCCTTACCGGGGACGGTTTCCTAATATACAGCTCATTCCAAATGGCCACTTCGACCGATCATCCTTCCCTTGTAAGCAAAATTATAAAGACACCGGCGTACTAGCTAACATACCTGCTCTATCCAGCCCCGTCAACACACTAAAAGAAAATGTCACTTCTAACACTCTAGCACAACATGACTCGTCCATGTCACACTTCCATATGACGGTTGTCCACACTATGTTTTGATGTCAGCCACTCTCCCATTACTAGTATCAGCTCCTAGTCCAGCTCAAAGTTTGCAAAAAATCGATAAAGTTGATGATAAAGTAGCTTAATTTCTAAGACTAATGTGGTACTAGTAAAGTGCTTATTTACTCTTAGGATGATGTTATCCTGCTTGCTGAGCGCCCTTCATTTCGGAACAAACATTTTTGAAGGGTGCTAAATTTAAATGTATTTAACTTCACTTTTAAAGTTGCGCTAAACCTACAATCTCCATCTTTTTTAAGCCTCTCTGAGCTACTGTAGGTGGCAGCATGCGCGAATTTGTCTGAAAATTGTTGGCTGATTCGTGAAAGGCCATGAACCCGAAAGGCATACAACCAAAAACTCGCATCCTTCGGTATAATATGTTGAAATCAAAACGACCTAACACTTTCATAGACAGACACAAAGTTTATAAACCTTTATTTTGGACGAAGATGTTGTATGTGATGTTGATTTCGTGATAGTCGTAGTAGCGCCTCAAGTGACTTCAAGCTGCGATACGGTTCGAGTTTTGCTCGCGCAACGTATGCTAGTCATGATGCGTTGCTGAAAAAAGATGCTGAATCTGCATAAGAACCACGAAAGAGAGGACGAACATGCGGTGTGGGCCTCAAAATGCCCTGCCTTCTGTTGAGCTTCTCGGCCAATTCCGGGTATGCTTTAGCCACGGAAATTATCTAGATACATACATATTTAACCATTACATTATTATTCACAACGAGAACATTTACACTCAAAAAAATGAGACTGCGACCTTACCATAGAGCCTTCCGTAAAATCACGCAGATACTGGTTAGGATGCATGCCAACGATATAAGCCAAACAAACCATATGTAAGGTTGGCATGCCGCATCCGTGAGAACAGATGAACCAAGAGAGTAGCTCCTCAAGGTTTTCAGAGTCCTAAATTTTTACTTCTTGAGATCTCCTAACATTAAGTATGGAAATATGTACAGTAGAAATCAGAGATTATGGATAGAAGTGAAGGATGTAAAACGTAAGTATTAAGCGTGCTAGCGCACTAGCTCCCGGGTAAAATTAGGTGCTTAGGGCCCGCCGAGCCACCATAAGCTCCTTTTCCGAGGCCGTCATGTTATGCATACGCAACGCGTGACGTGCGCAACGAAAACTTAGTGCGCTAGTGCGCTCGCCTGCTCAATACTTACGACACGACCTAGCCTAACAGTACACTTAGCGCGACTGCACATCAATATTTTGCTGAGAGTTTATCCTTATGACACCAAATAAAAAAACAACATCATAAAGTGCTATAACCAAAGCACAGGATGTCCTGTCCCGTGTTACGATGGTGCGCGTCTATAAATACAAAGAACAAATGTGTTTCCGAGGCTTCATATAGATATCCGCTACGCGTCGCCGAATGACAGGCGCGACAGCCTCTCCGCCAAAGTTCATAAAGCCTTGAGATCTCAAATACCAGTTCCAAAAGTGGCTCGCCCGAAATCAACCTCGAATCCGACTTGAAACTCATTCTACCCTAATTTCACGCGTATAAGGCGCGAGGAATTTTTCCCAGAATCGACCAGCCCAGACAAGCCAAAGGACTTTACAACCAAAGGACCCTATAGCGTGTTGCATATTGCTTGAGAGAATCGTGCGATGTAAGGATTTCTTTCCGGAATACAGTGCTTTTCATTTTTGAGTTTTTTGAGTGAAAAATTTTCAAGCGAGCAGCTGAGCGGCTCGCTTGAGAATTCGAAAAAGTGCGCCTTATACGCGTAAAATTAGGATGGTATAATTCCTAAATTCCTCGACAGCTACTGCGTAAGCGACATCAAAAGTTAAGTTGCCGAGCACGAGCACAATTGAAAACGATGTAGATATCATCGATCGAAAAGGAAGGCGAACAGACGCCGGAATGAGGCGCTGCTGCCACAACCTTTTGGCTGGCAGCGCGCCAAAGCAAGCGGGGGTCCGGAGGGGATGACAAGCGTGAGAAAGTATCGTAATGGCCGCCCGGTAGCATGGCTCAAATCAATGCTTAAAGGCAGCGTCCAGGCAGATCTGGACCTATGGGGCTTTTACGTGGAAAGTACTTTTGGGGCCCTAACTAAGGCACTGCCCAAGCGGCAGCTCATGTAGTGCTGTAACGGCTGAGATATTCCCCTCGAAACTGGACCCCGCGACCGTGTTTCGCATGCATTCATGGCGCAAAGCGTGGATCCTGGCGCGAAACTGCCATGAATCCATGCGTATATGTTCGCGGGGGCCAGTTTCGAGGGGATCATCTCAGCCATTAGAGCACTACCTGAGCTGCCGTTGGGCAGTGCCTTAATTAGGACCCCAAAAGTACTTTACACGTAAAAGCCCCATAGGTCCAGATCTGCCTGGACGGTGCCTTTAAGGCCTCATACTTCTAGGCGCGCGCATCGCGAAGAGCGAAAGAGCTTACCGAAACAGCCTAGCTGCCGCGTTCTTGGTTTTTAAAATTGTATGTGTTTTTCCTGGTAGACTCCGGCTTATCAGGAAAAATGCGCATTTTGAAAGATGTTCCAGATTTATTACCTTTTCTGCTGCTTTGATTGCATCTTCTTCTATAGCATTTCTCAATTTTGGAAAGTTTAGCGATCGCAGTCTTCAAGAAAAACTGATCAGCAGTACACTCAAGCGTGAACCTACCTTCTAGCAGTTTCAATGATGTCGATAACCAAAGTTGATGAAATGTTTTCCACTGGCATCATGGTCCCGGTTAAGGTGAAATGCAAAGCCTAAGCAACTGGAAATTCCTTGCAGTAAGGCCCAATAAGTAAAACTCAATAATTTCGACAGCTTTTTTGTTCATATAACCAAAATTGGCATCGCTGTGATCAGCGTTCTCAAGGTAATCATGGAAATTTTTGGAAGCCAAGAAGATTCCTTCTTTCGCTACGAGAATGTCGCCATTTCGGCAACGAATTGTGAAATCTTGGCGGCACCTAAAGGTATAACTGTTTGATATGCAAACCTGACTTTTTTAAAACATTCAGGATGAACTCTTCACTGCTACGGCTTATCTTTTTAGTTTTCGTCGCTCTTTCCATGAGATTCCAGAAATTATAACATCCTGTCAAACTACTATGCAGTCTAATTGAGTGCACTTTGCTTTTTTTCTGAGTGCTTTTCGGGATCGGGTATACTGTTCCAGGAGATGATTCCTACGATTCCTGTAATTCCTGCAAATCCTGTGATTCCTCCACTCTCAATGTGCTTCACTACAAAGCGCTTTGCAAATTTCAATATACATTGCATTTTCTCAGTATATATTGGGACCCGCAGGAAACATAGGGATCGCAGGAATTGCAGGAATCACAGGAATAATATGTATGGCTGGTCCCTTCGAAATGGTGCTGATGCGGACCAATAAACAATCGCCCTTGTCAGTTAGCATTCTGAATCGAAAGGCTCTGTTGGTGCTCGAGGTGCTACTCCTTCAATTTTATCCACATCGAAAGGGACTATTGGTATGCTTAATACAGATATGAGCTCGCAGCGATTTCCTGAAAAAGGCTCTAATCATATAAGCTACACAAAGTATTTAAAGTAGCGATTGTGACGCTTCTCACCAAAATATTCGTTTCCTCTTAACATTCTTTGCACTACTACACCAGTCTCGGATGCTTGTGGCAGAAAGAAACCACGATTGCCATGTGGATCATCTACTATTGGACATGTATGGGGACCTCCTTTGAGTAACACTGGAATCGGAGATTTGACACTAAAACTCAACTAGGAAGAAACCTGGCAAATACATGCCTCTATCAGTTGATGGTTTTACAACCCTTAGTTTGAAAGTACATATGGCTTCTTGTGGCAGCAGGTCACCTCACCGTATCTTTTCAAAAAGACGCTGTAATCCTCAAAGACCATGATCTTCGTAAAGAGCGTGTTCGAAAACCTCTATAAGCGAAGTTGTCTTCCAAATTAAGATCATCAACATTTTGGCCAAAATTCATTGGCCAGCTTTAGACCGTAAAACAAGAGAAAGAAGAAATGAAATCACTCGAACATCTCGGATAACTTGCTCGTAAGGGTTATCCGATCGAAAATCAAATCTGCTCAGTAAGAGAGCTTCATATTTTAGAGTTATGGTGAGAAAAATTTAGAAAAACATGTGATTTTTCAGAATTTACCAGCCCTTCTATTTCCTTTGGAGAGAAGTGTCAGCTATTTCTTGACGCCCCGATCTACAGAAGAAGTACTATCGAAAGGTTCTTTCTGGAATCTACAGGGGGCATACGCGCTGCTTTACACCTTGGGAAGAGACGTCCGCAGAAGATTTCAAGCACTGAAATCAAAATATCAAGGACATTCTGTACATGTGAAGATTCGCCTTGATGAGCTGAGCACAATGCTTTTTTCAGATTCAGAAATTATTCACTCTAAAGAAAGTTACGGTGAGAAAAATTTGGAAACGCGTGATTTTTCCAGAATTCACCAACGCTTCTGTCTCTTTTGGAAAGAATGCTGCGCCTATTTTTTAGAGTTCTATAATCTACAAGAGCAGCACTATCGAACGGTACTTATTGTATCTTTTATGTTGCACAGGCGCTGCGTTACATCCTTGCGAAAGGAGCTCCGCTGATTAGCTAAGTTGAATGGTACTCTAAAATATAGAATTCATAAACTTTGAATCAACATAAGGTCTTTCAATGATTTCTAAGAAAGTTAGGCTGCGGCCGCCGAGGTTAGGCGCCCGCCGCCTAACTTTGTAGCCTAACGCGGTGCTTGCCGCCTAACTTCGGAGGTCGCCGCCTGATAAGCGGCCACTTCCAATTTTCACAAATATTACGAGCGTATTGTACTAGCTTAGATTTCCTCAGTGTCCGCTCAGTAATTGGCAGTGATCTCTAATCCATAATTTTCACCATTCTTCAGTTTGACTAATTTCCAAAACTTCCATTTCCAACTTTTGGACTAGTTTCGATAACAGCTGGTTAGAATAAACAAAAGCAATACAATACATTTTTCTGGCTTCTCCAGCTGGCTTCGCAAAATTTTTGAAAATATTTTCCTGATGCTATCAAATTCCATCTTTGAGCACCTGAACCCTCACAGGACAATAAACGTCTAGCAACCAAGGCGTCATTTATTGTAGCTTTTTCTCCTCTTTCTAATAGACTTCTTTTCTTTCTGATTTGTACAATATCTGAAAATAAAATCATTATAATTTTTGTTTTCGGTCGCGTCCCAGGCTATACTCAGAAAACTCGGACTTCACTATTTCGAACCGCTAAACGCTCAGTCCATTACACATTTCGTTTGTTCTACACAACTTTATCAAATCTAGTCCAAAAGCTGAAATTGGAAATTTCAAAAAGTTGCCAAACTGAAGATGGGTGAAAATCATGGGTTGCAAATTCTTGCCAATTACTGAGCGGACATAGTGGGAATGAACAAAAAAACGTTGAAAAGAGGAAGAAATCCTGCATTGGAATGTGCTCACAGCGTTTGTCTATCTTCATTCTTAGTGGTTTGGGCATGGGTCTGAAAACATCGCGAACTTTCGGACCGACCTAATAGAAGATATATGCAGAGTATTCCAAAAAATGTGCACACTGTCCGATCGTTAATAACTCTCTTGCTTTCATGTCTTTTGCCGAGCTTGAGGTACTATTCTTTAGAGCGAGGTTCAACTTATATTTGCCGTGTGGAGCGAATATCGATTGCTTTTCATTACTGTAAGATTACGATAGAGATTTCGAGGAGGATTTTAAGCCATTGAAAGCGTTTTTGCCGGTTTTTGCCTCAAAAAAGAAACCACATAAGCCAAAAACTCTTATACTGGACTAGTCGAAGTCGTTAACTCTAAATATGAATCTCGCACTTCAGTATAGTGATTCCTTAATAAGTTATTTCAGATCTAGTGTAACAACTGTTTTCCCGGTGTTCGTTAAAAATGTGAATACGCCATCAAGAAAGCTCGAAAAACTGGTGGAAAGCTATGTAGTGAAATCAGCACGCCTTAAAACCTTGCTATACAAATGTTCAGATTTTTTGAAATTATTTCGTCAAAAAGCCTATGCCACAGTGACGCTGTATGCTGAAAGTTCATATCGTAATCCTACAGCAATGAAGAGCGATTAGTAATTCGCTCTATATAGTTAATCTAAGCTAGACCTCGCTCTACAGCATGGTACTTCAAGCTTGGCAAATGACATGAAAGAAGGAGAGTTATAAACAATCAAACAGTGTGCACATCTTTTTGGGACACTCTGTATATACAGGGTGCCCCAAAAATGCGCCTACTCTTTGATTGTTAATAACTCTCTTGAAAGTCTTTCGAGAAGGTTTAGGTATCATTTTGTAGAGCTGGCTTCAACTTAGATTTACAGTATAGAAAGAATCACCCATCTCTCTTCATTTCTGTAAGATCACGGTAGATACTTCAAAGGTTTTGAGCCATGAAAAGCTATTTTTCGCCACAAAAAGGAAACGAAACAGTCTGAAAACTTCTATACTGGCTTAATTAGAGTTGGTGATTCTAAAAGTAAAGTTTGCAACTGGTTATGATGCTTCATTGAATAGTTATGCCAAGTAAGCAAAAGCGGCCGTTTTTTCAAAGTTCCTAGAAAAAGGGTCACACCCTTTAGGCCCGTATGCACGTACATCCCCGCTGGGGAAGGGAGGGGATGTGAGGGGGAATGCGTCAAATCTCGCTACTCTAGGCATCTTTCTTCTTCCTTCTCTATCTAGCTTATGAAGGTTCTCATACCCTAATACTTGCGCATAAGTGTCCCAGGGGATCAGTTTTCTCAATGAAAACGCAGTAAATTTGTACTGTGGATATACTATGGCACTGCTAAAGATGTTTATAGTAGAAATAAGTGAAATCTCAGAATCTCAAAATTTCGGTAATCCCTGGCTCGAAAGCTAGGGATCATCGAAAATTCACAATCTTCAGATTCCATTTCTTTTGTCGAAAATATGCCTAGCAGTGCCGTAGTATATCCTTATTACAATTTTGCGGCGTTTTCATTGACTTTCAAAAAAATAAATGACTTTGAAAATGAGAGATGATGCCCTGGGGGATCCCTTGAGGATCATTTCTCACAAAATGGCAAAAACCAATCTTGTATGGAAGTAACCTGGTATCCATTATGCGCAGGTATAAGTGTATACAAAACTTCATAAGCAAGATAGAGAAGGAAGAAGAAAGATAGGTAGAGTAACGAGATTTGACGCATCCCCTCTCAGATCCCCTCCCCTCCCCAGCGGGAATGTACGTGCATACGGGCCTTAGAAGGCTTCTAATCTCGTACATAGTTGAGTATTACACTCAGCATCTGCGAAAAACTTATTTCACAAGTTTTCACATTTTTTTGGAGAATTTTGAAATTGCCGGTTTTTTTTACAATGACACCATATACCTGAAGTTTCTACCGTAATTCTACAGTAATGTAACGCGATGGGTGAATCGTTCTATATTGTAAGTCTAAGTTGAAATCAGCTCTATAAAATGGTACCTGAAGCTTCTCGGAAGACTTCATTATAAGAGAGCTATTAACAATCAAACAGTAGGCACATTCCTGTATTACTCAGTCTGTAATGATGTTGGTTAGGTTGTTCGTTCGTTATAAAAACGTCAGCCTTGCACCGATTGAGCTAAAATTTTGCACACTTATGTTTTCGACTCCAGCGGTGGTTTAGGGCCACTTTTCGCGGCGATTCACTTCTATCGATTTATTGATTTATTTACTCAAAT